AGGTTTCATCTTATTCTCTGGAAGATTTGAACAAATCTACATGTTTCCACAAAATATCTTGGTTTTTGAAAAATGGGTATTTTCTAATACAAGAATGCTCTGTTGGAAAATTCTCAGTCAGCTTTATATGTACAGGCAGTCTCCGGGTTACTTACAAGATAGGGACTGTAGGTTTGTTCTTAAGTTGAATTTGTATGTAAGTCGGAACTGGCTTCCAGATTCAGCCGCTGCTGAAACTGACCGCCAGTTCTGACTTACATACAGATTCAACCTACAGTCCCTATCTTGTACGTAACCCGGGGACTGCCTGTATATATTTAAAAAAATAATATTGGTTAGCTAAAGACATTTTCTGCAGTACGGATGAAAATTAATGTCTGAATTGTAGAATGCATTGAGCTGTTTGATGGTTCATTAAGGAGTGCATTACCATTGTATATCACTGAAGATCATTTTTATTAAATTAAAATCAGTTGGGGCTCACTGTCATAAACTTTAACCAGTTCTACAGGGGAAAGTATAAGCTGTTGAATAAAATTAAGTATTTTTTCAAAAGTCATGTTTTAAGTCTTAACTTTAGATATATATTAATGTTAGTGTCTTAGACAAATACAGTCTATTGAATATTTAATAAAAAGTGTGGAAAGGCCCAGTTTTAATAATTTTATAATCAACAGTAGGTGAAAAATGTAACAGTGAAGAAACAAAGTAGCAGGATTCAGTACTCTAAAATCCATTTTAAATATATCCACTTGGATATTTATTTTTTAAAACAAGCTTAGAACAAAAATGTGATATATCTGCTTTAAAAATGGGAAACAAATTAATTGTTTTGAAACAACTTTACATTTAGCAATGAAAACTAATAAAGAATGACCATAACATCTTAAAAATCAAACCAAAGTTTTGCAATCTTTCAGAATAAAAAAGAGGACACAGTCTGACTATGGAGGCAGTTTTCACTTCTTCATTATAGGGCTGGTATGTCTCTAGTGCCTCCTGTGGTGACTGTGGGGAAATTCATTGACGTAAGTCGGATCTGCGTAAGTTGAGGACTGCCTGTATGCATTATGCATTTTTAACATTTCTCCCACTTGCCTGAGCAGTAGCTGGCATTATGCATCTTTAACATTTCTCCCACTTGCCTGAGCAGTAGCTGGTAGTTGGTAGCAGTCTGATTTTGATCAGGAGCCATTTGCAGCTGAGTTCTGGTTTAGTGTAGAGCAGTATACTGCAGCCCCAAAGGTGATAGTGCAGGCATATGTAATAGGATTTAAAAAACTTTATTAACGAATCTCAATCTCTCTCGCTCACACACAAAACTGCTGCCATGCTGATGAAATCATCTGCTGTTCTTGCTTATGTCAGCACCTCCCCCTTTTCCTGCTATTATTGATTAGGTATGGAAAGTATGTAACCTTTAGAAAACAGAAAAAACTGTGGTTTGAGAGGTTTAAGTGCTGTCACCTGTTGGATGTCTAAAGCTTCAATCTAAGGATAATTATAGCAGGGACCAAAGCCTCACATTCCAACTGTGTAATTATTTCAACCCTCCTTACACAGTTGGCACTTGCACTTTTGTCATATAAGCTTAGGGAAGCTTATCAAGCACAGTTAGCAAGACAGCACAATCCACCTGCCAAAGCACAGGTTCCCTGTGGCCAATGCCAGCAACCCCAGGCCAACACAAACATGCATTGTTTGGTTTTTGCTAAAAAAAATAATTAATTTGAAATACCACCCTAGAAAAACAGTGAGAAAAGGGTGAGAAGCAGAAGAGAAATAATTTTTTGCCTCTATTCTATATTTCTCCATTTCATAAAGTCAGCCTCAGATGACCCTATAATTCCCACTTTGCATCTTCATCTAGTAGCAGAAGAGAAGCGTCAAGCTATTTCTTATGGTCTTACATATGCCTTGTTCTACACATAAAATACACTGCAGCTGTAATTGGACAATAGCTGTGCTTTTGTGTTTCAAATAAAATACTCACATTCAAATACTCTACAAAATAAGTGTTTAATCAAGAAAAAAGTATAGTCTCCCTTCATAATATTTAGCAAACAGAAATGGTAGACAACTGACAGATGACATCACTTCAAACAAACAAACCCTAAACAACCATTGGGGCCACTGGAGATTTGAGATGCTAAAGGAGCACTCAGAGATGATAAATTTGCAGATGATGCCAAACTACTCAAAATAATGAAGATCAGAGCAGACTCTGAAGAGCTTCAAAAGGATCTCACAAAGCTACGTGCATGGGCAAAAAAATGGCAAATCAAATTAAATGTTGATAAATGCAAAGTAACCCATATTGGAAAACATAATCCCAAGGATGCATATAAAATGGTGGGGACTAAATTAGCTGTTAACATTCAAGAAAGAGATCTTGGAGCCATTGTGTGTAGTTCTCTGACATCTGCTTGCTATGCAGCAACAGTCAAAAAAGCAAACAATGTTGAATCTTAAATACTGTATGCAGATGGGCTTGCCTCATCTCAAAAAAGATATACTGGAATTGGAAAAGGGTCAGAAAAGAGCAACATAAATGATATGGGGTTTGGAATAGCTGCCATATGAAGAGAGGAATACAACTGGGTATTTTCAGCTTGGAAAAGAGATGATGGGGGGGATAAGATAGAGGTTTATAAAATCATGACTGGTCAGGAGAAAGTGAATGAAGGAGAAACAAATATTGCTTCCCATAACACAAGGACTAGGGTCACCAAATGAAATTAATAGGTAGCAGGCTTAAAACAAAGCAAGTATTTCTTTATAAAATGAATCTGCCTATGCAACACCTTGCCAAAGGATGTTGTGAAGGCCAAAACTATACCAGGGTTCAAAAACAGCTAAATAAATTCTGGAGGATAGGTCAATCAATGGCTATTGGCCAGGACATCTGAGGTTGGTGGCCCTGGTCTCTGTATGTCAGAAGCTGGGAATGGGTGCCAGTAGATGGATCACTTGATAATTATCTGTTCTATTCATTCCCTCTGGGGCACCTGACATTGACCATTGTCAGAAGATAGGATACTAGGCTAGATGAATCTTTGGTCTGAGCCAATATGACCATTCTTATGTTAACAGTTCTGTCCTCATTTAAAGGATACTTACTTTCTGTGTCTAATTAGTAATAGGAGAAAAATGGCAAACCCCACAGTGGACACCAAGATGAGCGCTCCCTTCTCAGAGAAGTTGTGATCATTGTGTGCAAGCTGGAAACTCCAAACTGCTAGCAGTCAGTTGTGAATCAGTTTGGAGTTGGGAAGTCCGCTGTGAGGTTTGCAGTGATGCCAGTGTACAGAGCTATTAATTGCCGCTTCCTATGAAGGACTGTGATTCTTAGCCTTGTGTGGGAAATAGTGCCTGGCTTTGCAGCAATGGGATTGGCTAACTGTAGTAGGGTGACAGATGGTGCACACATCACAGTTTTGGCCTCAGACCACTTTGGAATGGAGTGCAACAACTTCTCTCTAGTATTTCAGATGCTAGTGCATCACTTGGGTTGTTTCGCTGACACCAATGAGAGGTGGTCAGGAAAGATGCACAATAATACACATATTCAGGAACACTGGCCTGTATAGAAAATTACATGCAGGGACTTTCTTTCTAAACCAGAAGATTTCAATTGGGACCCAGCCTATTCTTCACTCCCACAGCTTATCCTTACACTGAAAACCTTGATAAAACCAAGCAACAAGTGCTTCAACAACATGATCGGCAGGTGCCGAATGACCATGGATTTTGTGGTTGACTCACCAATGGATTGCCGGCGCTGTCTTTTTGGCACGTTAGAGCTCAGTGAGGAGAATATTCTCATGGTCATAGCAGCTTGCTGCATGCTGCGTAATATTGGTGATGTCAAGGGGAAAAAGTTTCCCCAGAACTGGAGTGCTGAGGTGGATCACCTAATGGCTGATTTTGAGCAGCCAGATATCAGGGGAATTAGAGGAACTTTAGGGGAACTATGTGAGTCAAGGGGGCTTTGCAGTGGCATTTTGGCAATGAGCCCCAGAAATGTGTCTCTGTAATGTATTCATCCAGGCGTATTGCCATCTTGAATGACTTTTGTAATGATTTCTGTCTGGCTACATCTACATTGGCAAGATTTTGCGCAAATACTTTTAACAAGAGTTTTTGTATTAAAGTATTTGTGCAAGAGAGCGTCTACACTGGCATGTGCTTTTGCACAAGAGATGTGCTTTTGCGCAAAAGCATCCATGCCAGTGTAGATGCTCTCTTGCGCAAGAAAGCTCCGATGGCCATTTTAGCCATCGGGCTTTCTTGCACAAGAAATTCATGTTGCCTGTCTACACTGGCCTCTTGCGCAAGAACAGTTGCACAAGAGGGCTTATTCCTGAGCGGAAGCATCATAGTTCTTGCAAAAGAAGCACTGATTTCACACATTAGAACGTCAGTGTTCTTGTGCAAGAACTCCCCGCCAGTGTAGACAGGCAGAATGTTTTTGCGTAAAGGCAGCTGCTTTTGCGCAAAATCTTGCCAATGTAGACACAGCCTACGAGAGTTAACCGTAGCTTGCAAATATGCCAATTGCTACCGTGTATTAAACAGCAATATACAAATCAGCATTTCTTACAAGGGACACGACACTGAATAGCACTCTGAAATGACCATACCAGAGGTGGAGTACAAAGGGTACTAGAATGGACCAGAAACATGCAAAGAATGTTTGGGGGAAGTTTGGAGAGGACATGAAACACAATTCTGTATGGGCTGCAGAGGGAGACAAACATGCATGTATTCCAACTGCAGCATACTCTGGGACCTGAGCCTCTGTGGTCCTCCCTGAACTTTATTATTGACTCCTGTTCTTCTATTATTCTGCCTCTGTCTCCTCTTCTAGATATCCATTTTTAGTTTCTAGTTTGCTCGCTCTATCGGTGGTCTGTGCTCACTATAGGCCTGATGAGAAAAGTGCAGCCCATCTTTAAACATGATTTCCTTACTCCTCCTTATCTGATGGAACTGCTCTGACAGTATATAGGAGCAGGACCTCAAGGGTACATCTACAAAAGTGAAAGAAACAATACATGGAGTCAGTATTTTGTGTGTGCTTACAGACGTGAATCATAAAAGTGGAATATACCTCTTTCTCACTTTCTCTTGGCAAGCAAACAGTACTGCAGGAACCCAAGACAATGGTAAGTTCAACCTGAGTGGGGTGAAATGGGACACAATATCTGGGTGGTTTTGGAATGATATCAGTAAAAGCATCAAGGGCTGCTATTCTAAATACTAGCACCACCTTCCACAGGTGAAGTCAGACTACTGAGGGTAAACAAAGTAGCAAAGGTGCATCTCCTACATGCATGCAGCTTCTGATCTGGTCAACATGCTGCTCACCTGTGTGAGGCTTTGGTTCCTGCAGTAGTTTTCCACTATCATGGCAAAGTTTTCTACAATAGGGGAAGAATCCAAAACAAAGAAGCACTATCAAGGAACCTTTGGCAAACTATTGCAGAGTATTTGCAGGAAACTTTTCTAGAGCTCTCTGTGGAGGATACCTGGGAGATCTCAGTGTGCATTAACACACTTTTTTGCAAGGCTCCAAGTGTGTAAATGCAGAGGAGAACATGAAGCAGATGCAAACAATACCTAGTGTTGTTAATTTCAATCCTTTCTTCCACATTCACCATGCAACAAAATAAAGGCAACCTCTACCTCATATAACCATGCAATATCCAAGAAAAATAAATACTTGAGCTCCCCTCTCCTGCTTCATGTGCACCAGAGCTGGGATTGGCTAGACCCTTCCAAAGTAAATAAGTCCTGTCTCACCACACCACTGAATGAGTCTGTCCCAAATCCTCCTCTAGCTTGATCTCCTTGTCCACTCCTTCATTCTCAGGGTTAACTCTGCTGGCTGATGCTTTCCGTCCCCAAGAAGTACGTCGGGGCTCGGAGTGGTGGAGATGGGGTCTCCAGCAAGCATGGCATGCAACTCTTTGTAGCAACAGTAAATATGCTTTCAGTGCCACACCAGAGTGATGTTTGGCCTCCCTTTGCCTTCTGGCACACTTGCCTCAGCTCCTTTATCTTAGCATGGCATGGCTGCATGCCCCTTTCATGCTCTTTGTCACTCATGCCATGAGCAATCTGCTTGTAGGTGTCCAAGTTCATACGGCTGGATAGGCACTGCAACTGCACAGCCTCCTTTCCCAGCACATTCAGCAACTCCAGTGCACTCTAGCTGGGAGCACATTCACTGCAGGAAGCTGGTATAGACAGCTAGGGAGGTGGTGAGGTGAGAGCGCCATGCTGAGAAAACAGGAAGTACAATTTCAAATATTCCCAGGGCTTTAAAGAGGGAGTACCAGATCTCTGATGGCCTGGTGCAGACCTTCAGAGCAGAAACTGCTGACTAGAGCAGACATGAGAGGCATTGTGGGACATCTCATGGAGGCTACTTAGGACTACATAAGCAAGTGTACTGTCTACGCATTGAGCCAGCATTGCTCTTTGTTGCAAAAAGTTATATGCCATTCATTGAGGTAGTTTTATTATGCCAACATAGTAAGAGCATTAAATTGGTGGGAGAATTTTTGTGAGTACCTATTCGCTGTTTTATTGATGAAACCTGACTTTTGTCTACAAAACTGCATAGTGTAGACAAGGCCCAAAAGAAACTGGAAAGAAATACATTAAATACTTTCCTTTTCTATTCCTAGTCTATGCAGTGCTTGAGTATGATTGCAGGGTCAACTGGTAGAAGAAAACCCTTAATCATTATCAGATGTCTGGCATCAAAGTATGTTCATACCAGCTCAGCTGAATTGGTCTGGGCACTTCATCTTTATGGCTGACTCGAGAATACCAAAGGCTATGCTTTATGGTCAGCTAAAGTGAGGTATCCATTCTCATGCTGCAAACGATATAGACACACTGAAGTCACACTAGAAAGCACATCTTGTTGACCCCAGCAACTGGGAAGCAACAATCCCTGACTGAGCAAGATGGTGGCAGATTTGTCATGTAGCTGTTAACCACTTTGAAGCAAGAGGCATTGAAGGTTGTGTGAAAAACATGAACTGCAACGCAAGGATATGACTGTCTGCCATAGTCATGGACAATCTTGTCTGTCCCATATGTAACCACGTCTGCAGTTCTCACGGGAGTCTGACCTCACAGATACATGTTCACCTGTAACAAGGGTTCTCAAACATCATTACACCATGGCCCCCTTCTGACAACAAAAATTACTGCATGATTCCAGGAGTGGGGACCATAGCCTGAGTTTGTTCAAGCCCCACTGCCCTGGGTGGTGGAGAAAAAGCCTGAGTCCCACTGCTGGAAAGCTGTGTCTAGACTGTCAAGTTTTTCCGCAAAATCATCTGCTTTTGCGGAAAAACTTGCCAGCTGTCTATACTGGCTGCTTGAATTTCCGCAAAAGCACTGACGATCTCATGTAAG